GCATGAGTTGGTTATGGTTAAGGTTAGGATAAGTCTCCAGGAAATGCATGTAAGTTAATGTAATGTCCCCTAAAGTAATGTATACATGGTATGTGTGTGTGTGCGTGTGTGTGTGCGTGTGTGTGTGTGTGTGTGCGTGCGTGTGTGTGTGTGTGTGGTGTGTGTGCGTGTGTGTGTGCGTGTGTGTGTGTGTGTGTGTGCGTGCGTGTGCGTGTGTGTGTGCGTGCATGTGCGTGTGTGTGTGTGCGTGTGCGTGTGTGTGTGCGTGCGTGTGCGTGTGTGTGTGTGTGTATTTGTCCTGTAAACATGTTGTTTATGGGTACAGTTAGAGCGAGCAAGAGGAGAGAAAAGGGAACATAAATATTGGGGATTATATTTAAATATAGAGAGAGAGGGTAAGGGGGAAAAGGAAATACATATACAAACATATAATGAAATAATGAAATAAAGAGTGGGCAGAAAAAGCTAAAATATATGTGTAAAAATGAGATAAATAAATAAATTAAGCTACATTAATATTAGTTAGAGGGAGCCAGAGAAAGACCAAGTGTGTAATCATAATAATCATAATAATTGTATCAAGACATGAATAAAGAAAAAGAAACAGAAGCATCTTTCTCCGGTTCATTGGTTAAGAAAGTACGCCACCATGTGGTTCTTCAGAGCACTGCATCATTACTAAGTAAACAGAACATTAGATTCTTCTAACCTCATTAACAACCTCACTAAACAACAGAAAAAGACTGCAACAAGAATAAAGATAAGCAGAAACACATCAAGCTGAATGTGATCTCATCCTATTGAATAAAATAACTCGTCTTCACATGGCACTTTTTAAAAGGTCTGACCAAATAGAAAACGCCTTGTGAGAAAACAATACATCTGGTAATTACTTTTTATTAAGTAGATTTGTTTTTATTTTACAATACGTGGAAAATAAAGTTGCGTTTGTTGTTGTAATACTCCCTTTGGCCACGAGAGGCTGAGTGCACTCTACTCCATGTTCATTCAAATCATTTGGGTTTTTTCAGGTGAGATTTAATTCATCCAGGCTATAAACAAAAGATACATATGAAGTGTGTCAGGAATTTAATCAAGTTCGCATGTTTCAAGAGAAAATGATTAATTTAAATAAAAATGAAGTCGGCCCAAACAAAAAAGAGACCAAAGAAATGTAAAAGAGTTTGTAGAAAACCCAACACAAAATACTAAAAAAAACAAATAATATTTCACTATCATAACATTTCGTAAGAGACATTTTTATATATACTTACATTTTTAATAAAACACACAAAAGAAAGTGTGTCTATGTGCCCTGTTGGATCCATTATGATGTTTTATCCGTTTTTGTATTAAACCCTGAAAACATCAAACTTAGATTTAGACACAAACTAAATCATTATTCTTGCAAAACATATTTTCCACCTGCTTTTAATTTATAAACACAGGAGAGAAAACGAATCCGATTTTTCTTTGCTTACGGTATTTGCCACTCAGGGCTTCCGTAGGTTTACAGACTGGAAGCTCACATCAATCAAACACACACACACACAAACACACACACACACACACACACTCACACACACACTCACACACACACACACACACACACACACACACACACACACACACACACACACACACACACACACACACACACACACACACACTACCCCAACACTGGTTAGTTGTTGAATCCTCATGGAAAGCTCCAATAATCATCTTTACATCAGCAGCCCCCCCCCCCCCCCCCCCCCCCCCAGCCGTAAATTAAATTCAGGCTTAAACAACTACAAAAACTAAAAAGTATAAAAAGATTCAGGAATCAAAAATCAAGACAAAAGATAAATATGAAGCGCACAGTGAACCAAAGAGAAACCCATATTTCCTGATGCTCACAAACGCTGCACACAGGAAGCATGCCCTCACCTGATCAACACCTGGAGAGGAGATCATAGACATCACAAAAGAGACACCTCAGTGTTTGTAGATGTTTCTGGAGGCAGACTGAGGTGGACATATCAGACCATTTAAAGACTAACTGACCCCCCCTCTGCTTTCAGCCTGGAGCCTGCTGCAGTCCGGTTCTTGAGGCCAGGTCTCAGGAAGTGTAAGTGTCTTTTTAATCATGAACATCTTCACACTGGAACATCACAGGTACTTTATTAACCTTTAATACCTGCTGTGTCTCTCATCAGATTCCTGTGGACTCACACTGGACTCAAACACAGTGAACAGAAACCTCCAACTGTCTGACAACAACAGGAAGGTGACATGGGTGAGAGAGGAGCAGAAATATCCTGATCATCCAGAGAGGTTTGACTCCAGGGCTCAGCTGATGTGCAGAGAAGCTCTGATTGGTCGCTGTTACTGGGAGGTCAAGTGGAGAGGAAGGGTTTCTATATCAATGACTTACAGAGGAATCAGGAGGAGAGGAGAGAGTAAAGACTGTGGGTTTGGAGAGAATGATCAGTCCTGGAGTCTGAGCTGCTCTGATAGAGGTTACTCTGTCTGGCACAATAAGAGAACAACACACATCCCTCCTCCTCCTCCTCCTCCTCCTCCTCCTCCTCCTCCTCCTCCTCCTCTGGTAGAGTAGCAGTGTATCTGGATCATCCTGCTGGCTCTCTCTCCTTCTACAGAGTCTCCTCTGACACACTGATCCACCTCCACACCTTCAGAGCCACATTCACTGAACCTCTCTATGCTGGGTTTGGGTTTGGGTTTGGGTTTGAGTATGGTTCCTCAGTGTCTCTGTGTTCTCTGCAGGAGTGACCCCCCCCCCCCCCCTGATAATCAAAGTGCGTCCTCTAACTAATAGATTTCGCACCAAAACAAAGAATATTGACAAACTTTGACTGTATGGAGGTGTCCATTTTGGCTTATATAATAAGAACTAAAGTTAATAGAAGCAAATATAGTTAAGTATAATCCACGATGTAGAATGCATTATATTTCACTTAGGTCTATACTTATGAACTAAATGTAAACCGTTTTGTAAACTGAGATGAAAGAGTTTAAGGTCCCACTGTTCAGTAGAAGGAGTAAAGCCTTACTCTAACAGCAGCTGTAAGCAGGAGGCCGCTGACTGAAGGGGACATCTCTGTAAGCTTTAGTTTAGTTTTGACTGTACGATCTGAAGTGAGTCTGGATAGGTCAGTCTCCCTCCCCTGGGAGATAATGACCCTCCCCCATATGTGGGTATGTGGGTGTATACTTGCTTCTGTTAGTAGGATATAGAAGCAGCAGCTCAGAGAGGAAAAAGCTCTCAGGGTTTTTCAATGGGGAATCTGAGGCCCCGGCTCCACGGGAACGAAAACGGGTTGTATCCGCATATTTCTCTTGCGTATAGCCCTTTTTGCCGCACGAGGCCGTAACGAAACGATAGAAATGGACCCCGCAAACGACAACGGGTCCAAAGGTGGATAGATCTGGGAACGGAGCGCTCTGGGGGGTCCAACGGCTCCGTGTGATCGCCTCTATACGATCATTTTGTGATAATGACGACGCAATAGCCCCGCCTCTCCCCACCTCTGCTGCTCACCCCCGCAAAAGTACACTGCACACTGAATTCAGATTATTTATCTTTATCTCGATATGGACATAAACGCGAGTGAAGTCTAATCTGACAGGACGGAGACACGCAGCTCCTCCCGCTGTGATGCAGCCGGAGCAAAACACACACTTCAAGTCAGATCATCACCCTTAGCTATTTTAATTACCTCTCAAACTACCTAAACTAGTTATAAATATGTTTATTTTTACTGTCGGGTCACTCATTACTGGATCAGCTGCTGCATGAGACAGACACTGACGCTGTCAGAAGAGAGGAAAAAGAGATTGTCCGTGTATTTTATTATTATATATCATTATATCGTCGTTATTCATTTGTTTTAAAGCTCAATAAATAACAAAGAAGACCTTTGACCGGCACTTTTATAATTTTGTCCGGAAGATTTAAACTTTAACACACGTTGACCGGCGAAAAACTCTGCCCGGATCCCTCGGCCCCCACCACGGAGAATAAACAGAAGCGCAGGCAACCATGCTTCTTCGCTGCTTTTGTGGAGGAAGTTACAGCGCCACGTCCAGGCTCGGCATATGTACTGCAGCTTTTCCAGCGGTTGGATCTAAATGGAGCTGTCTCGTGTGGGCAGACACTATCCGGTGTATATTGCGTGTGGACGGAAGCTTTTTGGCGATTGCGTTTGCGTTAATCCTATGCGTTTTGCCGTATGCGTTCCCGTGGGGCCGGGGCCTAACCCTAAGGCAGTGGTACCAAACTTTTTCAGTCAGGCCCCCCTTGGGTAATAGGAAATATTTTCGAGACCCTCCTAACCCGGATCCCAACTAGACTGGTAGGATTAATTGTAGATAGATGTACAAACATGACATGTTATTATTGATTGAACATGAACTAAAGTGCTTTTATTGGAAGAGAGATCTCTCTAATGGAGTGAAGAGAGCCGATATAAGGATTTATTCACGGCTGATGCCCCACAGTTTGAATGTTGTGTACCAACTGAAGAGGGCAGTTGATTTCATACCCGGCCCCCTATGAGGACTGCCCTCTGAATTTCTACTGGAGGGTTTCAACAAAGAAATTGAAAATAACGTAAACCGGTGAATTAATGATTATATCTTAGAGGTTTACACCGGAGCTAAATAATTGTATGATTGTCACAATGTAACGAGAGAAGGTAAAGACCCTGTGTGTGTTAACCATTTATTTGAATAAATCATCCCACCCTTTTGGACTGGGACAACCCAAAATAATTCTGCACTGTCCTCTCCTGATTCAAAGTAAGATTGCACGACTGCCACACTCACACTGAGGCAGGACCTCATTACTGATACCAGAATCCTACGGGGTCGCTTAGACGGATTTAGTGCTTCGTCTGCATTGAAACAGCAGTTCATTGAACCTGGTTCTTCAGGAGTCAGTAAAGGTGAGACCTTGCTGATCCAGGTGGATCCGAGCCTGGCGGTAAACCTTCATAGACTCAATAGCTCCTGATAGGTCAATTAGGAGGTCTGTTTAATACTCGGAAATTATTTCAGACTCATCGACCTCAACACTTGACAATTTATCTAATTCTGAGATCTTCAAAAAGAAGTGAGAAATTTGGGATTTTCAGAAAAAAAGTCTGTATTTAGATATTTTCCAAACAAGTCAGAATTCTGTGATTTTTAATAAAGTTCGAAAAAGTCAACATGTTGTGATTTTGAGAGACCGCTAGGGGCTGAGACTTGATAATAAACCCATTAACATCCTGCAATTTTATTTTCTAACTCGACCAAAACTTGATTGATTAAAGCTTCAGATTAAAGCTATTTGGTATCTGCTGTTGGGATATATGTGCAGCTAGCATGCCTCCAAAGGTGAACAAGACGACTGAGAGTTTAACCAGTAACACAGGTGAGGCTAACGATCAACGCAACATGCTGGAGGACATCCGCAGAATTGTAAGATGAAGTTTCCATGCTTACCTTACCTTATCTTACCTTACCTTACCTTATCTGACCTTACCTTATCTTACCTATTAGGTGACCAGGTGTCCCGCTTTGTACGGACTGCACAGCATTCTTATCATTTGTCCCACACATTTTGCCGATGTCCCGCATTTGATTGACAGTCGCCCGCCTTAAACTTTTAATAAACCTTTTATCCAAAGGTGTGTGGAAAACGAGAGAGAGCTATCACCAGTAGCTGAGTCAGATGTCAATCAATCAACAGAGAAATGTATTTATGGGTGTAGCCGGTGGAGGGAGATTCCCAGAGAGTTATTGTCAGATTTGCCAGATTTCTTTTTTAAATTGCGCACTGAGGTGAATATGTTTTGAAGTGACACTGCACAGAAACTCTCAAGAAAATATGGATCTATGGATACATTCCTCCTGAAAGCAGAAGAGATGAGGGACCAGCAGCTGATTTAATGAACGTTAAGCAGGTCAGCAGACTGTGAACTAGCTCCAGTCTTTTCTTTCTGATCATAATAGTTTGTTATGTTAATTCCATTCAAAACAAATATAATTCATTCCTTCACTTGCATAGTTTGTGCAAACATTAAACCAAAGTAAAGCGTTGTTATTATTTATAAGCTAATAGTTTAATAGAAATGTTTATTCTTAAGGGTTAGATAGACATTATATATTAATCTAACCTAGCTCTTAGCAACGCAGTAACACATCCCGCATTGTCCCTTAAAAGCGTCCTCTTTGTCCCACATGTGGCTTGTTGGCACCTGGTCACCCCATCTTACGCTGTCTCTTAAGAATACATCATGCTTGTTTCTACTTGCTGTGTGCAGAGCCTCCAGCAGGTGGCGCTGTGTGCTCTCTCCTCTCAGAGAGACCTTCATGTTTTATCATCAGCAGGCAGTGATCCATGTGAAGCTGTTCCTGTGTGACTCTGTGAAGCAGCAGGGGGTCTCAGTGAGTTCAGGTCTGCAGGATCAAGCTGCTGCACGCTCACTTCCCCTTCATTCAGAGTCTGAGTCAGGGTTTCACTCACAAGACATGAGCTTTGGTGGATTGGTGCATTTATAATACATTTAGAGAAATACAAAAAAATATATATGTATAAAGGATTACTTTTCTTGATTGAAAAATAAATCTGAAAAAAATACTATACATTTTTTTTATTATTTTTCAAATATGTGTGATAAAAACCTAAAATACAAATATAGAAATATGTATTGAAATATCCAAATACTACCTCTTTTAAAACTGCACAGCTCTTCAACATTACATTCAGAGCAGTCCTTCATATTCTTACCATTTGGTTAGTTTACGTTTCTTGTAATTGTTTTTATTTTAACTCGTTTCTCAAACAAGCACCTCGTGCTGCATCACACTGAAAGTCAAAGAGTGAAGACCAAACTAAATGTAAACACAATATTAATCTGATAAACTTTCTTTATTGTGTTTTTGGTGAAATAACAGACTGGTATCGTTTCCTTTAAATCGTGACAGGAAGTGAGAGTGAAACGAGGTGTGTGTGTGTGTGTGTGTGTGTGTGTGTGTGTGTGTGTGTGTGTGTGTGGTGTGTGTGTGTGTGTGTGTGTGTGTGTGTGTGTGTGTGTGTGTGTGTGTGTGTGTGTGTGTGTGTGTGTGTGTGTGTGTGTGTGTGTGTGTGTGTGTGTGCGTGTGCGTGTGCGTGTGTGTGTGTTCCTCTAAATACGCCTCACATCCTCTCATGTCGGTTTTCTGGTGAAGTCGACCTCTTTCTACCAAAACATGTGGTTTTTGTTCCGCACGGTGACACATTTCTGCAGACTGAGGATGCATAACGGGAATACAAATATAAAAGTATACATCTTAAAACCTTTAAAATAAATAATAAATGCAGATTTTCAGGATTCATCTGCTTCACCACTTCTGCTGCCGTCGTTTGGAAGACTTGGTCTGCACACATCGAATAATCTGCAAGAAACAAAAAGAGACAAAACAAATATATTCAGCAAAATGTTCAAATGGAAAAAGCCCCCCCAAACCACGATGCAGTTCAAACCCCCTGAAGGTGAGGCGCTTAGAGGAAAACAGCGCCTACAGTCTTTGCAGAAACACTTGTTATGTAAAGGTGTTAAAAAACAGATATGAACAGGATACAGACGCTTCACACTCAAAATATATAAAGTGAAAAGCAAAACTCATTCGAGCTGCAGAGTTTCCACTGCAGGCGGGGAAAGGTTATGTATTAACAAATCTGATTATGTGAAGCATAGTCGTCATTTGCGCTGGGGAGGCCGGGGACATGACCCCCACCACTTATTGAAAGTACAACGTATTCATGTTCTGAAAAATTGCGTGCACAGTGGTTTAGTTTCTAAATGTGCAATTTGGACGTGTCAGTAAACTTATAATAGAAAATGCAACAAAAAAAACACATTGCTTTGGCATGTAAACTAAAAATATTCCTCCTGACTCTACTGACTATAAAATGACCCAAAACGTGCTTGCGGCAGTGTTGTTTGGCCTGTTCGCCTGCAGTAAATGTTGTCTCTGCTTTATTTGTCAGAGTACCATAATGTGTAGTTTACATGTTAAGAGAGGATCCCCCCCCCCACAGACCCCCCTGCAGGGGTTCGGTTTGCAAACAGGGTTTCTCAACATGTGAGTGTGCATGTGAGTCACTGTGGACAACAGGCGTTCAAGACTCTCAAACAAAGACGGAGTTCATTGGCCACACACACACACACACACACACACACACACACACACACACACACACACACATATATAATGGTTCCTATGAAGACAGTCTGTAGCCTGACTCTGTGAATCCTGTCTGTAAAGGTGTTGCTAGCAGATGGTAAGGACATGAGTGTGTACAAACAACTACTTTTGAAACAAAGTGACGTCCATGTGTGCGTCATGTTTCCATTCCTCACACACTTAAAGGTGGGGTAGGTAAGTTTGAGAAACCGGCTCGAGTGCGCTAGATTCTGAAAATACACAACCGGAGAAAATCTGCCACTTCCTCACAGAGCCCCTCCTCCAACACACACGAACGCGCACATGACCAATGAGGGCACGAGATAAGTTTGTGCACAGATGGAAGGCTGACAGGCAGGTAGGCCATCCAGTTATTTTAGCCGGGCCGGCTCAGATGATTGGTTGTGCTTTTTACAGTATTACGGCTTCCACAGATGACATTTATTTATGGATTTTTTGTCAAAGCACTTCAGATATTCATTGCTATCAGGATGTTAAGAGCATTCCATGGAATATAACAACAAGTGTATCTCGAGCCGGTTTCTCAAACTTACCTACCCCACCTTTAATTTACATTATATCCTGCTTAATATATTTTTTACAACAAATTGGTATTTCAACATGTATATTTTCTATACTTTAATGCTGTTGTATTTCTATTTTGAGATGTTTACATTTTAGAATTGTTTATTTGTACTCTTAATTTATCTTATGTGCAATGTCTGCTGCAACGCAAAATTGGGATCTATAAAGTACATCTTATCTTATCTTGAAGGAAGAAAGGACACCTGTCTCTCGGTGGTGTTCCTCAGGGCTCCGTTTTAGATCCCCTTCTAATTTCAATGCTTTCAGGATCCTTTTTAGAAACCACCGTTTTACATCTGGACTTCCCCTTAAAACCAGGTGAAGTCCACGGTTTCTAATGAAACCCAAAGTAGGTTTTCATATGTTTTTTTTACAATGACCCTAAAACCCGACTGTAGTTTTCAGTTTCTAGTGGGGTTTGATGAAGAGGCCCTCTCCATTTGATTCCTCTACTTTAAAGAGTCCTCTCCTGCTGATGTTCAGGTGTATATCGGTATGTAGTGTCTCTACTTTAAAGAGTCCTCTCCTGCTGATGTTCAGGTGTATATCAGTATGTAGAGTCTCTACTTTAAAGAGTCCTCTCCTGCTGATGTTCAGGTGTATATCAGTATGTAGTGTCTCTACTTTAAAGAGTCCTCTCCTGCTGATGTTCAGGTGTATATCAGTATGTAGTGTCTCTACTTTAAAGAGTCCTCTCCTGCTGATGTTCAGGTGTATATCAGTATGTAGTGTCTCTACTTTAAAGAGTCCTCTCCTGCTGATGTTCAGGTGTATATCAGTATGTAGTGTCTCTACTTTAAAGAGTCCTCTCCTGCTGATGTTCAGGTGTATATCAGTATGTAGTGTCTCTACTTTAAAGAGTCCTCTCCTGCTGAGGTTCAGGTGTATATCAGTATGTAGTGTCTCTACTTTAAAGAGTCCTCTCCTGCTGATGTTCAGGTGTATATCAGTATGTAGTGTCTCTACTTTAAAGAGTCCTCTCCTGCTGATGTTCAGGTGTATATCAGTATGTAGTGTCTCTACTTTAAAGAGTCCTCTCCTGCTGATGTTCAGGTGTATATCAGTATGTAGTGTCTGTACTTTAAAGAGTCCTCTCCTGCTGAGGTTCAGGTGTATATCAGTATGTAGTGTCTCTACTTTAAAGAGTCCTCTCCTGCTGATGTTCAGGTGTATATCAGTATGTAGTGTCTCTACTTTAAAGAGTCCTCTCCCGATGATGTTCAGGTGTATATCAGTATGTAGTGTCTCTACTGGGACATGTCTCCATGCTTTAATGTTCAAAAAGCCCCAGTCTGCTCTGATTGGTTAGCTGGCCCGCCCCCTTAGCCTGTCACGTACAATGTGTTGGAGCGCTAACCAAAAGGAGCGAGAGTGTTACATAGTGATGTCACTCTGTTCCGTGTGTGCCTCGCTCTGTGATAAACCCATGCATTGTGTGAAGATAAACGGAGGTTCTTTACCAAGACGATGATGGGGTCACTGGGGTCCGCACAGCAGGGGTCACTGGGGTCACTGGGGTCGGCACAGCAGGGGTCACACAGGCTGAATTCAGACACAAATAAAGAAATGAATGTATAACATAAAGGCTGATTATTAAATATTATTCCTTTTTTTATAAAGAAAATAGCCCCTTCGTTTAGTTTAGCTTTGGTGTGTTGGAGCAAATATAATTTAATACAAAAAATTATAGACATGTAAAAATATAAGAGGAAATTTCAATTAAAACGATGTATAGATTGTATGAATATATTATTAAATAACAACTAAAGATGTGTGCAAAATGTTTTCCAAATCAAAATGATATTGTACATTTTACACATTTCTGTTCTCTGCTACCTCTTTAAACCTGCAATTCTCTTCTACATTAAATCCAATCCAACCGAGAGTAATTTGTGTGTGTGTGTGTGTGTGTGTGTGTGTGTGTGTGTGTGTGTGGTGTGTGTGTGTGTGTGTGTGTGTGTGTGTGTGTGTGTGTGTGTGTGTGTGTGTGTGTGTGTGTGTGTGTGTGTGTGTGTGTGTGTGTGTGTGTGAGAGAGAGGAGATGGATGAAGGTGTTTCCTGTTCTTTGATGTGGCAAAAATGCTTCTCTGTCAGACTGTTTAAAGAAATAATGTATATCGATTCATATTTTTTATGTTTTAACCAAAGATCTTTAACAGACTCTTGATTTTTAAACCTCTTTTCCCAGCTTATTGGAAAAATTACTTTTATTTGAGGAGGGGACTGTGATGCCAGGTAATGCTGTGTTCATGGACAATCCACAGTGAAGCATGGAGGTTCAATGATTTAAAACTTTATTTGTATATTTTATTTTTCTGTCATAGTGAACAAATAAAAACATTTGACAACAAATACATGCCAAATTAGAAAGATGTAAAAATATTTACTATCCAGACTAATTGGGCCATCAACCAACCAACCACCCAACCAACAAATCAACCAACTAACCAACTAACCAACCAACCACCCAACCACCCAACCACCCAACCAATCAAACAACCAACTAACCAATCAACCAATCAAACTTTCAAACAATTAATCAATCAAACCGTTTACTATCCAGACTAATTGGGCCATCAGCCAACCAAACAAACAAATCAACCAACCAACCAACAAACCAATCAATCAACCAATCAAACCTTCTAACAATTAATCAATCAAACCGTTAATCAAGCAACCAAGCAACCAACCAGCCAACAAACCAACCAACCAACCAATCAACCAACTAACCAATCAAACTTTCAAACAATTAATCAATCAACCAATCAACCAACCAACAAACAAACCAACCAACCAAGCTTTTAATATATAGGCTTTTATATAAAAAGTAACTAAATGTTTTTAGAAATGTAAATCTTACCGCTGACGTCCAGCTTGACTTCTACTTTCGTGTTTTGGTACCCGACTCTAGCCCCCACCTCACACTCGTAGGTGCCGGAGTCTACGGGTGTGACGGCGCTGATCAGCAGGCTGTAGTCCTGATCATAATCATAGTGGACGGAGCGGTTGGACTTAAAAAACTCTGGTTTCGATTTATCTTTGCTGCTCCAGCGCAGGATCCCACACTTATCCTGGTCGATCCGCTGCTTAAAGACACAAACACAGTCGTTCAGTATCAAGAATATCTACTCAAGTACTGAACATTAAAGTGGACCTATCATGCTATATTTGAATAATATAGTGTAGGACCATACCTATATCAGGCATATTTATACTTTTTTTTTTTCAAAATACCAAACAGATCATGCATTTTAGCCATGCCTCATTTTGCTCAATTTGACAATTTCTAGCTCTGGGCAGATTCTGTGAGAACAGCACCACCTACTGGCCTGGCATATGTACTACAGCGTCTCCAGCGCTTTCGAACGGCAATGGTCGTGGCTGTCTCCTCCTGATTGGTGGAGTTGGCCCAATAGCCGTAGCGCCACCGTCCTGACGTCAGGACAGTGTTCAAATCTGGATCAGTTTTTATCAGATCCGTTGCAGCCCCTTTTTTAGAGATTTGGGTATGGAGGAAAATAGAGAGGGTTGTGTTTTCTGACACTTGGTGAGTTCCCTGGAACACCGGGGACACATATTCATGTAGAAAAGACGTACACAAGTGCATTTTGCATGATAGGTTCCCTTTAAGGTAACATTTATCTGAGTACATCTTCTAACACTGATCTGTAAACATCCACATCAGGTTAAATGAAAGACCCTTCAGGCTTGGGAAAAACTGTATTCCCTTGTGATGTAATTCTCTCTCTCTCTCTCTCTCTCTCTCCGATCGTCCCCCAAACTTCGCTTGTATATCACCGGTCCAGCCCTCAACAGCTCTACGTCAATTATGGGGTTTCTTCAAATGCTGTTGCCATGGCAACACAATGCTCGCCATGAAACACGGTTTTCTCATAACTTCAGTGAAAATGTTCCAAACGGCCCAAAACTTCACAGGTTTGGTAACGATGCAGCCATCAACGCATCTAAGCGTATTATGGGGTGTCATCAAATGCCGTTGCCATGGCGACAGATCATTCACCATCAAGTTAGTTCAAAAGTTTGCAGTTCAAATATTCTGCTGCTTTTCCAAGCCTTTTTACTTTCTTTTCTTCACTCATCACACATTCAAGCCCCCAGTGTTCATGTATCATTTCAATCTAAATTCTTCACTTTCTTCTTACACATTACATTTCAGCATAGCAGTTTAGTGTCAGCTTTTCAGCATAAAGCCTTCCCACTAGCAATTTCTTCAGGAATTGCATTCTCTAGTTTGCATTTGATATTGTGGTAAATCAAAGGTAACAGAAAGTCATCAGGTTACTTTTATGCTTTGATGCTCAGATTAGGTTACATGTTATTACAGGTATCCAGTATCTTTTTTACAGGTATCGTGTAACTATATCAGATGAGACTTTTTACCGACCTTGTACCAGGTGACGGAGACGAAGTCTGATCCGACATCCGGACATGTGAGAGAAACATCATCCCGACAGGAAGCTAAGAGGCTATGAACTGCAGAGTGAAGCATCAGCAGCTGAGAGGAGAAGATCTATGAGATACAATATTAATAAAACACATATTAGTATAGATAGATAGATAGATAGATAGATAGATAGGTAGATAGATAGATAGATAGATAGATAGATAGATAGATAGATAGATAGATAGATAGATAGATAGATAGATAGATAGATAGATAGATAGATAGATAGATAGATAGATAGATAGATAGATAGATAGATAGATAGATAGATAGATAGATAGATAGATAGATAGATAGATAGATAGTTTCATCTCCCAGAAACCTGCAGGTCTGCTGCAACGAAGACGACTCTTAAATCCAGGCTGAAGACTTTTCTTCTTGCCGATGCTTCACATCTGACACGGCACTATTTGATCCTCTTTGATTTGTAATGACTGTTTTTATAATATGTTTCCGCTGCACTGTTTCTTAATGCTTTGAATGTCTGTCATGTTTGTAAAGCACTCTGACTTGCCTTGTGTTAAAAGGTGCTTTAAATAAACCTGCTTTGTGTTAATCAATGCGGCGAGTGAGAGTACGTTTATATATGCTTTTACAAATATAACTCATTTTCCAAAAGAAATGGAGTAATGTTGGTGTTTTCTTGTTTATTTTAAATGTGTCTTCATTGTGTTTTCATTTATTTTGATGACTGTATTTAATATAAGAACTTCACAGTTTAACAACTAAAATAAAGTTATATTCCTTCTGCTTCTACTTTACTTTAATATTTACTCTTTGTTCCACTTTATACTTCAACTCTGCTGCAATTCAAAGGAAAATATTGCACTTTTTACTTCAATATATTTATTTGACAGCATGTTGCAGAACAGGAGTTCAGAAAACAAGTTGTTTTAATTCAAACTATAACAGTTTCTACACACTCTCTGATCTGATGAGAGGCGACGAGACACTGAGGGAGGAAACAGAAATAAATATGCATTAAAAGCTCAGATTTGATCTCAGCATCGACTCACGTTAACGAGCAACACCGCCTGGATCATCGTCTTCATCATCTGAGAGGAAGCTGCGTTTCCTTTCTACAGAAACACAGCTTCCTGATTTACTTTATGTAGGGCTGTGTGTGTGTGCGTGTGTGTGTGTGTGTGTGTGCGTGTGTGTGTGTGTGTGTGTGTGTGTGTGTGCGTGCGTGCGTGAAAAAGAGAAGTGACATTTTGAAAAAGAAATCTAAAAAAAAAGGCTAATTCTAAGAAAAAAGGCATATTTGGACAAAAAAAGTCAAATTCTGAGAAAAAGTCAAATTCGAGATGCATTGTGGGACATGTCGTTTATGGGCAACGTGCTTCTGTAAAGTAGCATGTAACCGTATAATAAACATATTATATTCTTTGCAAGCTCTTGTGGGGCCACATAAAATGAAGTCGCGGGCCGGATTTGGCCCCCGGGCCTTGAGTTTGACACCCCTGCCTTATGGGGACAAAATGGAGGTCCCCATAAGGGGAATCATTCATTTTAGGGTGAAGACTTGGTTAGGGTAAGGGTAAGGGTTAGGGTTAGGGTTAGGGTTAGGCATGAGTTGGTTATGGTTAAGGTTAGGATAAGTCTCCAGGAAATGCATGTAAGTTAATGTAATGTCCCCTAAAGTAATGTATACATGGTATGTGTGTGTGTGCGTGTGTGTGTGCGTGTGTGTGTGTGTGTGTGCGTGCGTGTGCGTGTGTGTGTGTGTGTATTTGTCCTGTAAACATGTTGTTTATGGGTACAGTTAGAGCGAGCAAGAGGAGAGAAAAGGGAACATAAATATTGGGGATTATATTTAAATATAGAGAGAGAGGGTAAGGGGGAAAAGGAAATACATATACAAACATATAATGAAATAATGAAATAAAGAGTGGGCAGAAAAAGCTAAAATATATGTGTAAAAATGAGATAAATAAATAAATTAAGCTACATTAATATTAGTTAGAGGGAGCCAGAGAAAGACAAAGTGTGTAATCATAATAATCATAATAATTGTATCAAGACATGAATAAAGAAAAAGAAACAGAAGCATCTTTCTCCGGTTCATTGGTTAAGAAAGTACGCCACCATGTGGTTCTTCAGAGCACTGCATCATTACTAAGTAAACAGAACATTAGATTCTTCTAACCTCATTAACAACCTCACTAAACAACAGAAAAAGACTGCAACAAGAATAAAGATAAGCAGAAACACATCAAGCTGAATGTGATCTCATCCTATTGAATAAAATAACTCGTCTTCACATGGCACTTTTTAAAAGGTCTGACCAAATAGAAAACGCCTTGTGAGAAAACAATAAATCTGGTCATTACTTTTTATTAAGTAGATTTGTTTTTATTTTACAATACGTGGAAAATAAAGTTGCGTTTGTTGTTGTAATACTCCCTTTGGCCACGAGAGGCTGAGTGCACTCTACTCCATGTTCATTCAAATCATTTGGGTTTTTTCAGGTGAGATTTAATTTATCCAGGCTATAAACAAAAGATACATATGAAGTGTGTCAGGAATTTAATCAAGTTCGCATGTTTCAAGAGAAAATGATTAATTTAAATAAAAATGAAGTCGGCCCAAACAAAAAAGAGACCAAAGAAATGTAAAAGAGTTTGTAGAAAACCCAACACAAAATACTAAAAAAAACAAATAATATTTCACTATCATAACATTTCGTAAGAGACATTTTTATATATACTTACATTTTTAATAAAACACACAAAAGAAAGTGTGTCTATGTGCCCTGTTGGATCCATTATGATGTTTTATCCGTTTTTGTATTAAACCCTGAAAACATCAAACTTAGATTTAGACACAAACTAAATCATTATTCTTGCAAAACATATTTTCCACCTGCTTTTAATTTATAAACACAGGAGAGAAAACGAATCCGATTTTTCTTTGCTTACGGTATTTGCCACTCAGGGCTTCCGTAGATTTACAGACTGGAAGCTCACATCAATCAAACACACACACACACAAACACACACACACACACACACACACACACACACACACACACACACACACACAAACACACACACACACACACACACACACACACACACACACACACACACACACACACACACACACACACACACACACACACACTCTTTGAGGCGGGCTCATCCTGTTGTTTTCATGGCAGGGAACTCCCCATTGTCCGCGCGGAGGAATTATTTGTATGTGTCGCTCTTGTTGACAAAGGAGGTCGATATCCAGTTATTAATAGCAGCTGGTCTTTATGGAAAAGGGAAGAGAGACTCACATCTGCATTAAACAATGCCTCGTTCACAGCAGCTGAGACGAGGCAATGAGGATGTTCTGCTCTTCCTATTGGACGCCTGCAGCTGGAGCACTTTGTGAAGACAGGGAGAACACTCAGCATGAAGAACATCATACATCAGATGTTCTGCGGTGTTTCTTCAAGTCAGTGGTGGATAGGAATAAAGTACATTTACCAAACACTTAACAGAAACTTTACCTGAGTATTTTCAGTTATTGCTATACTTCTACTCCTCTACATGTATCTGACAGATTAAGATTATTAGCTACTAGAAACATGTACATAAATAAACTATGGATATAATGACATGTTCAGATATCCAGCCGTTTATGAAGTTATTAAAATGATCTCCATCTTTACCGGCTGTGATGAAAACATGAATGCATTAATGATCATAATCCTATATATATGACACGAGTCATGAGTATGGTATATATATATATATATATATATATATATATAAAATATATGTAGGTGTATAAAATATGTTCACACTTTTAAGTATTATTATATATATTTACATTTTTCCTTCGGCTGTATCCACATATTTATACACAGAAAGTAAATACAAATAAAATACTAAATTAATTAATTCAGTGATTAAGAGAAAAATGAGTTGGCATTGCAAATATCAAACTATATTTCTAATTTAATTTGAATTATTTTGAGGATTTATTTACATTTTTCTGAATTGTTCACTCTTCGTTTAACAACATTTTGCTCACTCAACTTATTATGGGAGCTTCACAGTTTAACAAACTCTGTGTTACAAGGAAACAGAGTTCATTTCATTATTAAAAGTTGTGTTTTTTGGATGCACTTTTGTCTGGTTGCAGGTTGCAGGTTGCAGGTTGCAGGTTGCAGGTTGCAGGCTGCCTGGTTTTGCATGTTCAGAGCTGGCAAAAGTACACGCAACCAGGGCCCCACGCAAAGTTATATGATGAGGCCCTCTGTTTCGCGAGCGTCGATGGGGACGGGGGACGGGGGACGCGGGTGCTAGTGGAGCCTCGCAGCGAAACCGTGCATAAGCGCATAGGTGCGCCGCATTTGCCGCACAGTTGAGGCTCCCTCCGCAAGGTGAGACCCCACGCAGTCTGCGTGATCAGCCTGTAGGGAGGGACGGCCCTGCACACATCCTTTACTCAAGTAGAAGTACAGATACTCGTGTTTAAAAATACTCTGGTGAAAGTAGAAGTACTGACTAAACTTCTTTACTCAAGTCAAAGTAAAGAGGGCTTTGAAATGTACTTCAGTAAAAAGTACCCATAACTAGCAGCTGTTTTAAAGAGTACCTGACCTCCCTTTATATTAATAGAACAATAATGTCATTGTTAGCTAATGAATGTTTCCATGCTGAACAACGGCAACATGACAACGTTTCCATTGGTCCCTCTTCTTTAGAGAAGACCAGGAAATGATGGATACACGGATCGTGTTCAATCAATAGGCACGCAATGACTCTAAATAATAATGATCACGCCACCAAACACACATTCAAACTAAAGGAACCAGCCTGTTTGGGAAATGTAAGAAGTAGAAAGTACAGGTATTTGTGTTCAACATGTAAGAAGTAGAAAGTACAGGTATTTGTGTTCAACATGTAAGAAGTAGAAAGTTCAGGTATTTGGGTTCAACATGTAAGAAGTAGAAAGTACAGGTATTTGTGTTCAACATGTAAGAAGTAGAAAGTACAGGTATTTGGGTTCAACATGTAAGAAGTAGAAAGTACAGGTATTTGGGTTCAACATGTAAGAAGTAGAAAGTACAGGTATTTGTGTTCAACATGTAAGAAGTAGAAAGTACAGGTATTTGGGTTCAACATGTAAGAAGTAGAAAGTACAGGTATTTGGGTTCAACATGTAAGAAGTAGAAAGTACAGGTATTTGTGTTCAACATGTAAGAAGTAGAAAGTACAGGTATTTGGGTTCAACATGTAAGAAGTAGAAAGTACAGGTATTTGTGTTCAACATGTGAGAAGTAGAAAGTACAGGTATTTGGGTTCAACATGTAAGAAGTAGAAAGTACAGGTATTTGTGTTCAACATGTAAGAAGTAGAAAGTACAGGTATTTGAGTTCAACATGTAAGAAGTAGAAAGTACAGGTATTTGTGTTCAACATGTAAGAAGTAGAAAGTACAGGTATTTGTGTTCAACATGTGAGAAGTAGAAAGTACAGGTATTTGTGTTCAAAGTGTAAGAAGTAGAAAGTACAGGTATTTGGGTTCAACATGTAAGAAGTAGAAAGTATAGGTATTTGTGTTCAAAATGTGAGAAGTAGAAAGTACAGGTATTTGAGTTCAACATGTGAGAAGTAGAAAGTACAGGTATTTGTGTTCAAAGTGTAAGAAGTAGAAAGTACAGGTATTTGGGTTCAACATGTAAGAAGTAGAAAGTACAGGTATTTGTGTTCAAAATGTAAGAAGTAGAAAGTACAGGTATTTGTGTTCAACATGTAAGAAGTAGAAAGTACAGGTATTTGTGTTCAACATGTAAGAAGTAGAAAGTACAGGTATTTGTGTTCAACATGTAAGAAGTAGAAAGTACAGGTATTTGGGTTCAACATGTAAGAAGTAGAAAGTACAGGTATTTGTGTTCAAAATGTAAGAAGTAGAAAGTACAGGTATTTGGGTTCAAAATGTAAGAAGTAGAAAGTACAGGTATTTGTGTTCAACATGTAAGAAGTAGAAAGTACAGGTATTTGTGTTCAACATGTAAGAAGTAGAAAGTACAGGTATTTGTGTTCAACATGTAAGAAGTAGAAAGTACAGGTATTTGGGTTCAACATGTAAGAAGTAGAAAGTACAGGTATTTGGGTTC